TTATTCCCTATTAAATAGCATGTAGGTTTCCCCTCAATAGTCAGAGTATCTTACAAGCCATATTACAATGAGTTGTCTAGTATGTTTCATTAGACATACTTATGCGTAAATGTGCTTTTAGAGAAAATACTTCAGGTGCAATAGTTGAAGAGTAAGAACTGGAATTCCATAGGCAGGTCTGCAATGTTATTAACTATTGTCTAATATCTCCCCAAATGGCACTCATTATATAAATTTTACTTGACTGTGATGCATTTTTAATACACTGAAGAATTCAGCTTCCTAATATTTTACTTAGTGCTTTATGTCTATATTCATATTGATTTTTTAGTGTTATTTTCTGCTGTCATTTCTGTTCTCGCTTCTTTTATTCTATTCTCATAAAATGAGTTTGGTAACATTTCCTTTCTATGTTTAATCTGAATTCTCTAAAATGTGTTGGATAACACAGGAATTAACTGCAAGTTGGAGACTTGATAGAACATGTTCAGAGAATAATACATATCCAGTGCCATTTGCAGGGATATGGGGACCCCCAAAAAATTAAATTTTAAAAATTGTGGTCTTAAAAATGATCCTGTTTTTCCCACATAAATTTGGTAACGAATAGTTATACATAAAAATGCCAGTATTCCTCCATTTTAAATTTTTAAGCAAGAATTTGTTCATAGCATTTTTCTCATATTTAACTCTTCTTCAATATTTGAACAAATGTTTCTACTTCTCCCTTTTAATTGTATGGTTTTAATGTATGACAAATAAGGTAAAGTTACCTTTTATATGGAATTTCGAAGAATTAATACTATTTAGACTGATAAATGTCTATTTCTTTTTAAGTAAGAGGATTTTTTATTGTCTATTTTCTTGAGTGTTAGTTTTCGATTTGTATATTTATACACATATTTTTCTTCAATATATTTCTTTGTTTATCTCCTTTATTCCTTTATTTTATTAACATAAGTGTATCACATATTTGAAATTTCATTATTAACGTAAATTCATTGAAAACCTGAAATTATATTTATTATTTTAGCTACACCCTGACATTTTTTACAAATGACACATTCATCATTGCTTTATTAAAGAAGATGTTATGTTTTCTATTGTGATTTCTTCTTTAGTCTGTGAGTTATTTAGAAATGTATTTTAAATTTTTCAATATATAATAATATAAAAATATATTTCTCTTTATCATTGAGCAAACACACAGAATTAAACTATCAAATCAGATGCGCACAAGCCAGACATCTAACCCAGTATCACTCTTCTAAATAATTTTAAGGATACAGGCAATCAAAAGGCTCAAACAAAGAGAGAGACGTCCAGGACTGGGTTGATACTTGTGTCTTTCTTTCCCAGTCAGACATGCCTTTGTGGCCTAGAATTAATGACCTTAAAGTGAGGGTCGTGCAGTTTCTCAAATAGCTAGATCATTTAAATTATGAAACCTCTCTATTTTATGCTTCAAACAGTTGTATAGCTTCATAGATCCTAGGTTCTGTTTACTATAGGCAATCCTTAGAGAGTGATGTCCTAAGGACATTTCACAGGCAAGGCCTCCTCTTTGTAAAAAATATTGCTAGCCTATTTACTTTAGAGATAGAGTTGAAAAGATTAGGTCACTATGCTATGTAGGTTATAGGTTTTTTGTTGTTTTGTTATTTTTTAATAAGACACCTCCTTCCACTTCAAGTGAAGGGGGTGAATGGCTCCCAGGGCACTTTCTTCCTCTCATTTTAAATAAAATTGCAGTATGCACTACATTGTTTTCTTAAACTATTATGAGTTATCTTTGAGTTTCAATTATTTTCAACAATAATTGCTGACATTTTTGAAAAAATAAATATATTTGTACATAATATGTATCTATATAAATAAGTTATACATGTATAAAACTGGATTTTTCAAACTGTACTAATTCTTACTAATCCTTCATCAAGATTGTATGTCCCTAACAACTGTAAATTGGTCAATGCTTGCCTTCACAATTTTACATGTGGTTTGTATCTATTTTGAAGATACATTTTTAGAAGCATAGAAGTTTATAGTAGATTATTCCTTTTGTCATTTTGTAATATTCTTTTTTTACTTATTAGTTTTTATATGTGAGTAATTTTGGACTATTAATTGTTGCCTATAAAATGGCTCATCCTTTTATTTTCATTTTTCTGTAGGTTTTACATGTGCTTTGTTATATTTTTCAGCCAAACTTATCACCTTTGTTTTTTAATAGGTAATTTAATATTCTTTCATTTATTGTAATTACTGATATAATTAATATTAGTTTAATCTCATTTTGTGCTATTTACCAGTCTTTTCTGGTTTTCCCTCCATTTCTGCCTTGAATTGGTAATTTTTTTCATATTATTCTATTTTAGTTTGAAATACAATTTTTAGAAATTGGTATTAAAGCTTTATCATGCAAAACTATTTAATGCTATTTTTTCTCGCATTTTAGTTATTAATATTTTAATCCACTGCCTGAACTTAGTAAAAACTTACTCTAGCTGCTTATTAAGCTTTCTTCATCCTTCATCCTATTATTGTTCAGAATTTTAGATTTTCTTATTTTAATTCAAAACAATTATTTTTTGAAATATGTACAGTTAAATTTATTATTTTTTAGTGCTTAACAATGTTGCTTGTAACTGATTATTTCTGTCCTCTCACATGTTTATCTTTTAATGTTGTAGTAAAGTTTAGACGTTTTCTTTGAAGGTTTGATGATTGATTCATCCTGTCAAAATATACTTATAATGGACAGATTAACAGGAGAAAAGGTATGCAAATAGATTAATCTGCACATAGACAAAGGGATTTTCCAAATATGAGACTCGAGGAAGAGTCAGATGGTTGAGGTTTAAAGAGCACACTTCTCACAAGAGAGAGGAAGATAGGGAATGTAGGTATTATGAGAGGTAGTTAAGTGATTTTCAGGAGAGATAAGTGAGCCCAAACAACAGACAATAGCCAGGGACAAAGTTCCTCTAAGTTCTGGCAGCAGAAGGTGGTGGGAAGGTGACGGGTGGAACTTAGCCAAGAACAAAAGTTACCTTATTATGCAGGTAAAGTATCCCAGGCAATCTCTAGAGCTGTCTCAGAATAGCTGGAAAGGCTATCTTAGCATGGTGGCAACGTTTAGTCTTTTCTCTTCTCTAGTGGTTAATCGTTTCTGATAATTTGCTAAGAATTCTAGTGAGAAGGTCTTAAGACAATTGCATTTTTTTGAAAGAAATTTTTCTCAGACAGATAAGAGAACTTCCAGAGAGAGACACTCCCTGAACTTGGGAGAAAGTTAAAAGAGAAGGTTAGCAAGTCCTTGATTCTCAGGTAGTTTCTAGGCCTTCTGTCTTTAATTTAAAAGTGCTTAGCATGCCAAAGCACCAATTTTGGGTTATTTTTCTCTGTGCCCCAATAATGTTCACTTTGATGAAGTGATTTTTGGTGTTAAATACTAATTTTTATGTAAATACCAAAATGTTATTATTTTCCCATGCATGACAGGTAAATTGCATGTTATAAGATTGTAAGTTGACAACAGTTTTCCTTATATTAAGTTGGAAAGATCTATTTTTTTGTAAGTCAATTTATTTAGGTACATAATTTACATATGAAATTTGACCAATTTTAATATAAAATTTGATGAATTTTGATAAATGTCAAGTAACCATTATCACAATGATGTAGAATTCCTTTCACCAACTAAAATATTTCCCCTTGCAGTCTTTTCAGTCAATCGCCAACCCTTACCCTGAGCCTCTGGCAACAACTGATTTGCTTTCTGTTGCTATAATTTTATCTATTCTAGAATTTATTTAAATGAAATTATACACAAGGTAGCCATTTGTGTCTGCCTTCTTTCGCTTAGCAGGATGGATTTTTTCCTACAGTTGTCTATCAGTTATTTGTTTCTTTGTATTGCTGATCAGTGCTCCATTATAAAATGTAACCACAATTTGTTCATCCATTCACCAGTAGATGACATTTAGGTTGTTTCCAATTTTGGCATTCAATTAATTTTGATATATATAAGGGAAGAAGCAAGGTTTATTTTTGTGCACAGGAATAGTCAATTGTTCTGGTATCATTAAATGAAAAAAAAATCTTGCTAAATTTAATTACTTCGCCCTTAGATCCAATATTAATTTTCTATATACGCGTGGGTTTATTTCTGAACTCCGTTTTGTTTCACTGATCCATATGTTTGTTCTCATGTTCATCTCACACATTTAATTTACTCTGGCTTTAAAGCAGTCTTAAAATCAAGTAATATAATATTCCAAATTTATAATATTAAAAAATGCTTTAGATACAGGAGCTAGAAAGAAATAATTTAGGCAGATAGTAAGGAGAACAGAATTCTCGGCAGAATTTCCCTTTTAACAAAAAGCAGCCCCCAAATCATTTACTTTCTAACAAAGAGCAGCCTGAAAAATCGAGCTGCAAACACAGATTAGCAAGCCGGAAGCTTGCACAGGTGAATGCCAGCAGTTGTGCCAATACAAAACGGTTACCTGAGGGCCAGGCAAGTTCAACATGGAGGCTCCATCTTCCCTTTTCTTCGTCAGCACGTGTACAGTAAAGAAACAGGCAACATGGCGCAGGTCAGGAAGCGAACACATCTGCGTAATAAAAGGTGAGGGTGGGGGCAGCCAGATTCCCGTGCACTATGCAAATGGCACACCTAGCCCTAACCAGTATTTTGTGCCTTATGCAAATGACACACTTGTTCTGACCAATCTTTTGTGCCCTATGTAAATCAGACACCACCTCCTCAAGCGTGTCTATAAAACCCTTTGCATTCCACCAGGGAACCAGCAACCCATTTCTCCAGCACCTCTCTCTGAAGCAGAGAAATATTTTTCTCTCTTTCTTTCTTTTTCTTTTTTCTTTTCTTTTCTTTTTCTTTTTCTTTTTTTTTGGGGGGGGGGGTGGATATTCTTGCTTTTGTCACCCAGGCTGGATTTCAGTGGCAAGATCTTGGCTCGCTGCAACCTCCACCTCCCAGCTTCAAGCAATTCTCCTGCCTCAGCCTCTAGAGTAGCTGAGATTACAGGTGCGTGCCACCACACCCCACTGAATTTTGTATTGGCCAGGCTGGTCTCAAACTGCTGACCTCAAGTGATCCCCCAGCCTCAGTCTCCCAAAGTGCTGAGGGTTACAGGCGTGACACGCCCGGCATGAAATTTTCTCTTTCTTTTGCCCTTTAAACTTCCTCTCTGAACCTCACTCTTTTTGTGTTCTTGTCCTAGTTTTCCGTGGCCGTGAGACAACAAATTTCATGTATTTACTCAGACAATGATGCCACTTCACTTTGACTACTTTAGGTATAAATTTTAGATTCAGCTTTTGTACTTCTATAACAAGAGTTGGAATTTTAATAGATATTTTATTGAGCCTATAAATCACTTTGGGAAGAATCGATATCTTAATAATATTGAGTCTTTAAGAACATTGAGTCTGTGTTCATTTATTAAGATCCTCTTAAATTATTTCAGCAACATTTTATAACTATTAGCTAAAAGGTTGTGAATATTTACATATACTACTTTGTATAGAATATTTTCGATGCCCTTTAAAAGGTGTTTTTTAAAAAATATTTTTACTATTATCTGTTTTAGCATCAGAATTTTTACATATTTTTGAATAATTTTATGCATGTTCAATTGGCTGGCTCATTTTTTGTGTGTGTTTATAGTTTTCTTTCTCTCTGTCTTATTCTTTTTCTCAGTATTTCTTACTCAGCTTTTTTTTTTTTTTTTTTTTTGGCGACTTATCACCCAGAGTCCCCAGTGTACAAGCCTATTTTGTAATGCTGCTTTGGGTTCTTGTCTTCTTTTGATATTACAGTAGAGTTAACTGCTGAATGGAGAGACGTGTTCATTCTCTCCAGGCAAGCCTGTTTCTTTCTTGCTATGTCTTATTGCCTCCTGGTACATAGAACTTTCCGTAAACGATAACCAAGCCTATAATTGGACTGGGAATTTTATTTGCTCTCCATTGTAGAGCATGGGCCAGCTCCACTCTGAACTCAAGATTTCAAGCTTTGAACTTTACTCTTGCACCTCCTATGGAGCATCTTTAGTTTCTGTTGCCTCTAGAATGTCAATATCCCAGCCACTATTGCCTCTTCCTCACAAGGAGCCCAGCGTATCTATAAGTAGTAAAATTCAATCATTCTTTGTTTGTTTAGTTGTTGGTCTTCTTTTTCTCTTCTTTGCTCAATGAGATCTTTTTTGTTTTAGCCATATTTAAAATTACCTGTCATTGGTATGTACTTCTAGCTGAACATGTGTGTCAAAGCATGAACTTCTGGCATTGCGCTGTCTGTAAGTTCCACTACATAAAATTTCAAAATTTCTATATCAGATAATTATAGACTGTCATTTCTTGAGCTATAGTAAAGAATTTCTGGTTCAAGTAAAGACATTCAAAATCAAATTAGCCTTGCTTCTGACATCTAATGTTACTCTGAATCCCAGACTCTAAGAAATTGTACTCTTGTTATTCTCTGTCTTTTCAGTTGCAACAGTTGTGGCTTAGACAGGCAAGTGGTATTCTTTTAAAAATCACACAACTCTTGCTTCATAGAGGAAAGACTAAAGGGAATCTTGAGATTTTCTAGGTGGGTCTGCATGCTATCAAATTAACCCATGTACAGTGACATTCCAGACAGAACCCTGCCTACTGCAGGACAAAAGAAAATAACATCTGGCAATTAATGTCTCCATAATTCTTGAGTATAAGGCAAGAAGATCCATATTTTCCTGTGGAAATCTCGATTATGAGAGACAAATAAATATAAAATATTGAATATTAAAAACAATTTGAATCCTATAATTTCTAAGGCCAGATACAAAAAATGAATATGTGTTTTCTAGTTGTATGCAGAATTTGAAATGTGAAAAAAATTCAAACGAAAAGTTATTTGGTTTCTAAAACATTTCTAGAGCAATTAGAATGAATGCTTATCCATGCATTGATTAAATTCACTTTTTGTGGGTCTTTGTAAAGTTGTAGTTGAAGTTTTAAATTCATCTGAGTTTTCTTTCTTGTTCCATTGCTAAAGCTGAGCCTTCTTAGTATGCTGCCTTAAAGTATCTCTTAAATTGTAATAGTTCTGTGGAAATTCTATAATTCTGCATATACAGAGAGAAATGTATTCTGAGAATATGAAATTTCAGAAATATGCTTAAAAAGTAAATATAATTTTGAAAGCTCAAATATATTAAATAAAAGTAATTGTCTTTAAAATTGACTCCAGTATATTCTATAGAGCACTTTAGTATTATTTGGGTTTTCTCTCTTCCATGAAAACGAAGCCTCATGTGTTGCAAATAAAATAAATGACTTACCCAAAATAACTTAGTTGCCATGTCTACACAGTGCATAAAGACTGGCAATTTTTGGTGGAATGTAGGTGGTATGCACAGGCAATCCAGAATATGCTAGCCAATACTTTTTTTTTTAATATTGTTTCATTTATTTGAGTAAAAGTGGAAACAGAAGGGCAAAACTTGATAGTAGTAATGATTGGAACTTATTAAGTATTTAGTAATTATATGTACCTTTATAGTATTGCTTAGAATCTTCTTTTAAAAGTGAAAGCGCATAACTGTCTGTTCTTCTTGAATTTACTATTGATATTCATTGTCACTCTAAGAAAATTTCAGTAGGAAAATTAAAAAAAAAAACAACTTTATTTTGTGTTGATTTAGGGAACACTAACACTTTGACAATGCTTTATGTAACTTTTCCATTATCCAAACAGCAGAGTAGGCCTGAGTGGGTGCTTAATAGACATGATTCATTGGATGTGTATCTGTATTGTCATTTATGTTGCTCCCTCTGATTAAAATTCCTTTCTCATTCTAGCCAGCTTAGAAAATGTCTAATTAACTTTTGACACTCAGATACTATTATTAATCTCTCCCTCAGACAAATCTGACCACAATCTTTCCTTTTTGTGCTCAGTTAATCAGTTAATCATAAGTGTCTACTGGTGAAAACATTGTTTGAAGACAAAAAAACATTTCCTTCACTGCTATATCCACAACATGGTTGTTGGTACTGTAGATATTAATAGTAGGGAGATGAGTTATAAAAAAATCCTTTTTCTTTTACTGTATTTTTACAATCAATAGACACAGACATCTTGGTTGTGCATGTTGAGTGGATTACACAGTAATTTTAAAAATGGTGTGCTGTTGCTTGAAGTCAAAACATATATTGATTTTGAATGATTTCATATGTAAAATATATCAACATAATCATGAATTAGATAATCATGAATGAAATACAAGATTCATCAAAATCTCATATAGAAAAAAATTTTAACAATGATGGGATCAACTATATTCCCACAGGATGTGCAAGATAATTACACACTTAAAAATCTATGAAATAAAATTTATGCAAGTGTGACCATGGGACTTTAAAAAATATGCAGTTCTTAATTACTTATTATTACTTTATAAGTATGCTATATCTATTAAAAAATGGTAAAAGAAAACATTCTAGTCTATCATGTAAATGCAAATATTTCTCTTTTTCTAAATGTTTGGAGGACCATAGTTTAAGAAATTATGTTAGAAGCCTCAGTAGAATCTTAACTATTTATTAATTATACATTATTCTAGATGTCACAGAACCCTCTGAGTTTCTCTTCCTCATTCAATAAATTTCCAGGGCACTTTTAAGATTAAATGTATGTAGGTACTATTTTGTATAATGTTATATTATTATTTTTATTTTTAAATACATATCATGGAAAATCATAAATGAATAATTAAGATAAATTTAGTTTAAGCATATTTTATTGTATTTTATGAGGATGACAGATGTTTTAGAAATGCCACTAAAATTACATGTTTTAGCCAAGTATGTTTCTAATAATGATAGTAATTTTTCACTTACTATGTTTTGCAATTTTTCTTTAGAATGAAAATACTGCTCATTACCTATATTCATCTCAGAAATGCAATTTCTAAAATAATTTTTTGCCATTTTCTTTATTTTTCAAATTGCATGTTACAAAGTATATTTTCATACTCTCCAGTAGATAACAATATAACCATAAAAATATTTGGAAGGGGAAATAGTAAGTGAATTTATATTCTGTATTAATTCAAGATAAACTTGAAGTCAGTTTTTTGTGTGCTTTTTTTGAGGGGTTGGCCTTATTTTTAAATGTTGAAATCAGTTTGACAATAATTATGTTCACATACATAATTATAGTTTCGTTACCATATTTATTAAAGGTGAAAAGGGGGCTTTTAACACGTCATTTAAAATGTATGATTAGAATTTACATAAGTAGTTTTGAAGTGACAATGACTTACTCTTTTTTTATATCATCTCTTTATAATGTCTGACTGGATTATTTTTCAGCTAAGATAAAACCACTTGAGATGGACTTTTTATTACAATCATTGATAGTTTATCCATATGTCATCATACTTTTAGGTCATTTCAAATTTCAGTTGGACCAGTGTTATTTTAAAATTACAGTGGTAGGCTATATTATTCAAGCATTTTATTCACTACATTTTTATAATATTGCATTGATTACTTAGACTGCTTTTGTCAATATACAGAAAACTTAAAATGACTTAAAAATAAGGAACTTGATTAGCTCATACAATTGAAATTCAGATGTATATAAAAGGCCTTACTTGGATTTCATTCAGCCAGTGTGTTCTCATTTCTATAATTTTTTGGGTATCTCCCTCCTCTGGGGTACCTCTGTTTTTTTGTTTTGTTTTGTGGTTGTGTGTGTGTGTGTGTGTGTGTGTGTGTGTATGTGTGTATGTTTAGATGAAGTCTCACTCTGTTGCCCAGGCTGGAGTGTAGTGGCATGGTTTTGGCTCACTGCAACCTCCGCCTCCTGGTTTCAAGTGATTCTCGTGTCTCAGCATCCAGAGTAGCTGGGACTATAGGCATCTGCCACCACGACTGGGTAATTTTTGTATTTTCAGAAGAGTAGAGGTTTCACCATGTTGGCCAGGCTGGTGTCAAACTCCTGACCTCATGTGGTCTGTCCGCCTCAGCCTTCCGAAGTGCTGGGATTACAGGCGTGGGTCACCATGCTGGGCCCTGTGGGGTACCTCTTAATCATTCATGTTCATAGAAAAATGGCTGTAGCTTTCCTAAGCCTTTCATTTGCATATCTAGCAAATTAAGACCAATTTCTTCTTCCTAACTTTCTTTTAACAGTGAGGACTTTTATCCATAATCTCCAGTGTGCTTCCCCGTGGCTGTCCATGAGCCCAGTTGGGTCATATGCCCATTCATGAACTAACCTTTAGACTTCAGTCTGGATTTCTGACAAATCATCAACAAAGGAGAAGACTGATCATAATTATGTGAGTTTTAATCATGACCTACTGCGTAAGATTGGAACAAAATATAAGCTGTCTTCAAAATATAAGACTGCTGAACAAAAAAGAGAGGCCTACGATGTTACTGGAAAACAACAATACTCTCTACAAGTATTAACTGTTTACAAAATACTTTTACATCCATTATCTCACACTAAATGATGGTTCTAAATGCTTCCCCTTTTGCAGTTGCCCTGAGGATACATATGTTAACCCTTCCAACTCTATAATCCTTATCAACATTATATCCCATATGATAGTCTCCTAAATATCTCTGGAGTCCCAGAAAATAGTCGTGTATTTCATCAAATGCCGGGCATCAATATACAACTTGTTTCTGTATTTACGGAAAAATAGTTAAAGAATAAAAGTTAATCTTTCTATAAAAATTATTTTCATTAGTGGAAAAAAACAGTAATTCATATATTATTATCCATTAAAAAATATGCTGTTTCAGTATCCTAAGGCTAGGACTTTGCATACCAAACAACCAGACTGAAGCAGAACTTATTTAATCATTAGAGCCGTGTGAAAATCTGGACAGATTTCTACAGCATTCTTTTGGTTGCTAGATATATTTCAATTGGCACAATAGTGGCAAGATCACCTGTGTAGTTTTCCTGATTTATGGATGTAGATTGATGTTTCTCCATGGAATCTCACTTTGCTATTTAGTCATTAAAATACATGCCTCTCATTTTACTGATTTTTATACTCCCAACAAATACTCTGAATCACCACCAGAAATAAATATCTTCTTTATGTTATAGGTTTTGCTTTATTTAGTTTCTCAAAATAGTACGTTTAGTAAAAGATGCAAACTCAGCTCTTATAATGTGGCACAAAATAATCCAACTTTGACCTTAGGGAAACCATACATGCACTAATGTCTGATGATTAAAAACAGCAACAAAACTGACAAACATTTTAGCAATTTTAAGCCTCTTACATTTGTTCAAAATGATTTAACTATGTTATTGAAACAAAATCACTTCAACATTTAAGCTGAAAATTCACATTATTTCTGTATAGAAGAGAAGAACCCAGGGATTGGAGAAATGTTATATTAATAATAACTCAGTAAAGAATTATTTTTAAAGAATGGGTATAATGGCCGTCTTCTGTTGCTCACCTAACGAACAACACACAACTGCCCAATCAAAGTCTTACATATTGAAGATTAAAAAAGAGAAACAAAATTTTAAAACTTGGTAATTTAATGGGCACAAGTATTTTCTTAATAATAGTTTTCACATAAGAAGGTTATAGTGTATAAGCAAACATCTAACAGTATTTACACTGTTGCTTATTTGAAAAGCAGTGCTACTTTTAAGGAATCAGGTTAACTCTGTTTTTGACTCCTCATGGTGTTGAACTATATGTTGGAGATGAAAATTAGTAGTATGTATGCCAAACCGTATCTTTCTGTTCCCTGTTATTGGAGGGAAGGACGAGAGCTTTGGAGTGGACTAATTCCTTCTGTTTATCTCAGACTATACTAGGAAATGGTTGTAATTTTGACTAATTTGGAAAGGTTGCCGAATCTCCAACTGTTCATTCTGACATTTATTAAACATTTTACAGTAGTGGCTGCTTCTGTTAGCTGCCTGCCTTGTAGTCTCATCCATCAGCTCCCATGAAAAATAAATGGCTTGATTTCACACAATGTGTGACTGTCATCTCCCTGCCCAAACATTTTTGTTGTAATCTATGTGATTTCATAGCAGAATTGTTTTTGTTCTTTAAGTGATATGGGTGTCTGCATGCCAGTGATTTCCAGTTTCAGTGTTTCTTATTTCATTGGATGTGATCACCTATGGTGTTTTCAAACACTTTGACTAGAGATGGGTCAAATACAATCGCAATAATTTAAAGCTATGTGCAGACAATTATATACTTTCCAATAAAAATGAAAGCATAACTATTTAATGAAAATCCACACTGTAACTTAACTATGGGAAAATCTACATATCTATATGCAAATTTATATTTTTAAGCAATATACAGACACATTTGGCCCTCTTTCCCTAGTTGGTGGGTACATAAGAAGAGACATGTACTATCCCTAATATAAATGCCTTTAAAGTTTTCCTATATATAAGAGGATTTATTTTTTATATTATATACATAAATATTTAATTTTGATGTTTATTGTTTTCCCAATCAATTTTTATTCCATTTCTTTATATTAGTCATCTCATAGGTTTTTTTTATTACCAGTGTGTCTAGGTTTCAGTAATACACATCTTTGCTTATTATCTTTGTGCTTATTTGTAAAACAATGAGTCAACTTTGTTTTCGAATTTTGTTTTTTATTTTTATTGGTCCATTATACTTTTTTTTTAAGTTTCATTAAATGTCCAAGGTTTAGAAAAGTTAAACAGTGTTGTAAATCCCTGAACTTATGCATTTTGAGTGTGAAGGCTCTGTGTTCCTGACCTACTTTGCCACGCAGAGACCTGTAGCCAGGGGGTGCTAGGCATCTGTGCCTCAGCCATTCACAGGTGCTGCTAAATATGTTTTTGACTTTCAATACATAAAACACTGTTAAATTATGGAAAGATATGGGGATGATGGAATTTTCATCCCCATCGAATTTTTCATTCACATTTCCCATCAATATTTCAAACAATATTTTTACTTCTTTTATAGTTTCACCAGAGAGAGCAAGAATCCTGATAAATAGCAGCTCCCACTAATGTAGATTGGCTACTGAGTACATCATGTTTTGAAGAAGGTGTAAACACAACTCTTGCGGTAGGGAGAACAACTTCCAGTCTAGTTAAGCTAATGTCCATTAAAGACATATGGTATTTTGCAATAAGAGATAGTCTTTATGATGATTGTCCTAATGTCTACTTTAAGAAACAAGTGAGACCCATCAAACAAGAAATTGAATGGATAAGATTATGAGATTTTGAATCAATAAACAGACTGCATGTTTAAAAGAAAAAAAGTCTTTTAGACTCATTATCTAATTATTATCTAATGTGTTTTGTAACAAAATTTATTGCTATAACCAATTGCATTGATATACTCAGGCAGGTAAAATGAACTGAAACCACAAGGAAAGGGGATACTTACATCCACATTATGTTGTATGTTTATGTAAGTGTAGATCCTGGATAGTAGACTGAAATGCCTTAAAGTAAGTCGCTAATATCCTACCTCCCAAAAGCTCGTTATTTTTGATAGTATCTTCAGATTATGAAATAAATCTAAGAAGACTGATTTTGTTTGACCTACCAGCATCTGATGAGTTTGCCACTGCTGTTTTAAATTAGAATTAAAGACATAAACATGGTAAGATGTGATGGGGGCGTCTGCATATTCTGCAGAGATGGTTTAATATGAAGCAAAAATGAAAACATCAATTTGATTATGAAACAATCATCATTATCACATTTTCTTTACAGGTTACAAAAAAAAAAGACAAACATTAAATTATACACACTGATTACCCTGTCACTATCTTAACCCCCCAACCTTCTCATACAAAGATAAAAAATAAATTTCTTTTGTTGTTTCAATTGCTATGGCATCATGAAATTTTGTCAAAGCCCAAATGACTTGCCCAAACCCTACATATTGTTTCGAGACTTTGTTTACATTCCACTGTTTTTGTTTTTTTGTGTTTTTGTTTTTTGAGTCGACAACATGCTATTGGGGACACATAATAGTTGTACATATTTGCCAGGTACATATGACATTTTGATATGTATATAGTGTGTAATGATCAAGTAAAGGTGATTGGGAAACCACCCAATTTATCATTCCTTTGTGTTATGAGCATTCCAATTCCACTTTTCTAGTTATGTTGAAATACACAATGAAGTATTATTAACTTTAGTCACCCTTTTGTGCTATTGAACACTAGATACTGTTCTATCTAACTGTATTTTGTACCCATTAACCACCTCTTCTGTATTCTCTTCCCACCTTCTTGTATCTATCATTCTACTTTCTATCTCTACAAGTTCAATATTTTTTTGCACCCACATATGAGTAAGAACATATAACATTTATCTTTCTGCGCTTGACTTATTTCACTTAACCTAACAATCCTCCAGTTCCATCCACATTGTCACAGAAGACAGAATTTCATTCTTTATTAAGGATGAATAATATTCCATTGTGTATTTGTACCACATTTTCTTTATCTATTTATCCATTGATGGACACTACTTAGGTTAATTTCATATCTTGGCTATTGTGAATGGTGCTGCAGTAAACAAGGGAGTGTGGATATATCTTCGATATACTGATTTTTTTTTTTGAGGGGTATATACCGCACAGTGAGATTGCTAGATCATATGGTAGTTCTTTTTTAGGTTTTTTTAAGGAACCTCTACAGTATTCTTTATAGTGGTTGTACTAATTTACATTGTCATCAACAGTATGCAAGTGTTCACATTCTTGACAGCATGTTATTGCCTGTCTTTGATAAAACCTATTTTAACTGGGGTGAGATGATATCTCATTGTAGTTTTGATTTGCATTTCTCTAAATGCAAATGAATGATGTTGAGCATTTTCGCATGTACCTGTTGGTCATTTGTATGTCTTCCTTTGAAAAATGTCTCTTCAGGTATTTTGCCCATTTTTTAATGGGATTATTATTATTTTTTCATATTGAGCTGTTTGAGCTCCTTATACATTCTGATTATTAATCCTTTGTTAGATGGGTAGTTTGCAAATATTATCTCTCACTCTGTGGGCTGCGTCTTCACTTTATTCATTGTTTTCTTTCCTTGATATGATCCTTTTTGTCAATTTTTTTTGTTGCTTGTGCTTTTGAGGTCTTACTCAAGAAACCTTTACTCAGACCAATATCCTTGAGTGTCACACCAATGTTTTCTTCTAGTAGTTTCACAGTTTCATGTCCTAGGTTTAAACTCTCAACAAACTGGGTAGAGAAGGAACATACCTCAACATGATAAAAGTCATATATGACAAACACACAGCTAGCATCACACTGAATAGGAAAAGACTAGAAAACTTTCTTCTAAGATCTGGAACAAGACAAGGATGGCCATTTTCACCACTGTTCTCCAACAAGTACTGGTAGTCCTAGCCAGAGCAATTAGATGTGAGAAAGAAACAAAGGCATCCAAATTGGAAAGAAACACGTCAAATTATTCTTGTTTGCAAATGATATAATATTATATTCAGAAAAACCTAAAGACTTCACCAAAAACATTAGAACTGATAAATTCAATAAAGTTGCATGACATAGTATCAACATAGAAATTCAGTAGCATTTCTACATGACAGTGGTGAGCAATCTGAAAAAGAAACCAAGAAAGTATTCCCATTTGCAAAAGCTACAAATAAAATCCATAAAAATAAACTTGACCAAAGATGTGGGAAGGTAAAAATAATAAAAACTATAAAACATTAATTAAAATCTTTGAAGAAGGCAAAAAAATATAGAAAAAGTTTCCAGGCTTATGGATTGAAAGAATCAATATTGTTAAAATGTCCATAGGATGTAAAGCAATCTATCAATTCAATGCAATCTCTTTCAAAACACCAATGACATTTTCATGGAAATAGAAAAAAATTATATCATTTTATGGAACTACCAAAGACCCAGAATAACCAAAGTCATCCTGAGCAAAAAGAACAAAGCTGGGGGCACCACATTACCTGAACAATAAGAACACATGGACACAGGGAAAAGAACAACACACACTGGGGCCTGTCAGGGGTGCAGGGGGAAGGAGAGCATCAGGATAATTAGCTAATGCATTTGGGGCTTAATACCTAGGTGATGGGTTTATAGGTGCAGCAAACCACGATGGCACACATTTACCTGTGTAACAAACCTGTACGTCCTGCACATGTATCCTGGAACTTAAAGTAAAATAAATAAATGAAAGTTTATGACTAATTTTTGTACACTTAATACCTTTCTTCATTTACAAATAGTTTATAACTTGTATCTTAACATACTGCCTCCCTCAGCGTTGTTGTACCAATGTGGTATCAGCTATTCCCTTCCATATACCTTTAAATTCTTACCTCTACTATTTTCTTTTTCCACCATTTTTATCCTTTTTTCTTTACTTTTTGTTTCTCTTTTTTGCTGTCTGTTGATCTTTTACCTTCTTTATTTTTTGTCTTTTACCATATGTTGTAAACCTATTTAGTGCAAATCCTGTCTGCTCTGCCTATGAAGTAGCCATTCTTTTATTTCTTTACTTTCCTTAAAAACAAAAACAAACAGACAAAAAACATTTAGTGCAAAATCGGATGTTAAATTTCGAAATGGTTCAATGTCAACTGTCTGGATTCTGCCCTTGAGGTGCTGTCTGGTAGGACAGATGGAGCATACATACAAATTAAATATAATACAAATTATCAGTAATGAATGCCATGAGAAATTACTGATAAAGAATTTCCCACATACAAACCACCCTTTTGCAATGTTTCTAATCATAACTTCTGAGTCACCTGTTTACTAAACTACGTGATTTATTTTGCTTTTGCATATTTTCACAAAGATTCCTCTACTTTATTGTTAACTGAAAATTTCTCAACAGTTAGAATAAGACATGAGAATCTATGAAATGTTTAAGAGTGAGGTCTTGAAATATCTACATTTGATCTGAGATAGTGACGGTATCTGTTTAGAAAGGTTTCAATCAGAAGGAGGCATCCCTTTCCAAAGGCTATTGCATTGGTGCAGCAGAAGAAAATAAGCAACTCAGCTAAAGTATATACTAAGGAGAGAGAATAATATATTAGGACTAATTTGAATAATAAATGTAAAATAGAGTTATTTTTTTCCTTTTTTCTTACATAGTTTTCTCATCCAAAGGCAAAACTCCTTAGGAGGAAGGAATGGACATGACATGTCTGAAAAGAAGGCCAAGACTTAACTATGTTCAAGACTAATGGACTAGTGCTGATGAGCAGAATGGTGGGAACATACAAAAATGTCTGCTAACAATCTTCCATTCAGAACGGCCTCTCTCCCACTTGATTCACATGATCATTGTGGAGCTATTATCACTGAACAATGCCGCTCTGCCCATACAGACACACTCAATCTGTTCAAAGATGGGAAGCTCAACCAAGTGTGCCAAAGTCCTCCCTGATGATTAGTGTATGGATAAAGAACCATTTTCCACCTTTGGTTATCTATACTAAAAGATGAAGCCTGTTTTTGCCAACGGGTTTATGAGAATGAAGAAAGTAAAGCTCCTAAGAAAAATAGAGCAATTACTGCTGGTGATAGGATCCCATACTGTGCCAAATGGGGTCATAACAAAGGGAGGGAGAGGTGGAAGACACAAGGGCAGCCTTGGATATAGGAATAAATTATATCTCACAATTTCTTCAAAATACATCTGTAGTTATTTATTTATTTTTGAGACAGAGTCTTGTTCTTGTCACCCAGGCTGGACTGCACTGGCACAATCTCAGCTCACTGCAACCTCCGCCTCCCAGATTCAAACAATTCTCCTGCCTCAGCCTCCCGAGTAACTGGGATTACAGGCGTCCACCACCAAACCTGCCTGATTTTTGTATTTTGAGTAGAGACAGAGTTTCAGCATGTTGGCCAGGCTGGTCTCAAACTCCTAACCTCAAGTGATATGCCAGCCTCAGCCTTCCAAAGTGCTGGGATTACAGGCGTGAGCCACCGTGCCTGGCAACATTTGTATACTTACGATAAATTCCTCTTACTTCCTTAAACAAAATCAAGATGTTTATTTGTGTTTTAGTTATCTCCCTACTCTGTATAGGCTGTGATATAATTTTGAGCAGGCATAGTGTGTACTGAACATACCTGATTATACTGAAGAAAAGGTCCTGTTAAATAAATTTATTATAATTAAATAATATCTATTTGGATGACATATAGAAAAGAAAAACACAACTGCCATATTCAAAGACAACAAATAAATTATTTTTAATATAAATTAGAATGCAGAAAATTAGCCCATGATGAACTTAGAATCTAGTTGTTGCAAAATATGGTATAATTTGTCTTATTTTTTCTGTTATAACCATGCCTAATCATAATAAACTAGAGGCTTTAGTAAAGTTTTTTAAGATAAGTTTAATTAATATGGCTTTAGTTATAAAACAACATTTCATAGTTTTCCTGAGTCAGCACATATTCCATATTCTCATATATTTTCTATCACCATTGATCTTTTAAAATTCTAAATAATTCTGGAACATTTCAAAATCATCAAAGCTCACAGATTATTTTAACTATTTCACTAGTAAATGTTCATCAAAACTGTCAAATTATAATCTTAAAAAATATTATAGTCCTCTTGGGAAGATTTATTATCATGAAGTAATCATGTTGATTATTATACAAAATATTTTTTCTTTGTTTAGCAATGATCATTGTGTTGCTAGTCACTTTCATTCAACCTGATTGCTATTCTCTGGGTTTGTTTATATAGGGAAATGAATATATTTCTATAAAATATTATATATTAATATGGGTTTGGGGAGATTTGCTTCTCACTCACAGAAGTTGGGTCCATAAATGTTTGAGGAACACATGATGACTAGGAGCAAAAAATTAGGACCTAATCCCTAACTCTAAAGACAAGCCTAACCCCTAACTCTCAAGGCAAGTTAAAGATTTTCAAAGTCAGAAAGTGAAAGTGGAGATACGATGAGGAAGAAGTTGATGGGGGACACAAATAGTTTTTTTAAGTGAACTGGAGTTGAGTCAGTAGCCATAGAGTCACAAGTTATCCTCTTGTGGATTCTATCACCAGTACCCAGTGCCAGCACAACACATCAGTTGGAATCCAGAAACCATTCAACCCTCACCTGAATGGGTCATATGGTGTGTGTGTCAAAGAACCATTAGTTTTCTTTTTAGTTGGCCTCATGAAGATCCTCTTGGTAACAGCCAAAACGTCACATAATATTACTGCCTTGCTAGAGTGATACTTATCGGTAGCTTTAGGTCTAACTAGGCGCTGCGATAGGCTAAAAAAAAAATGTTCCCAATGCTGTAACCACCTTCCAATCCCTTAAACTTGTGATACCTTATTGTGGAAAAGAGTCTTTGCCAATGTAATTAGTTAAAATTCTTAAGTGAGAGAATCTTCCTGGATTATTCTGGTGGGCCCTAAATAACATGAAAAGTCAAAGCGAAAGACAGAGGGAGATGACACAGAGCAGAAGGCATCGTGAGGATGAAGGCCGGGATTGAAGGGATATAGCCATGGGCCCAGGAATGCCAACATCTCTCAGAAGATGGAAAAAGCAAGGAACACATTCTCCTTTAGAGTCTTCAGAGGAAATGTTAACCTGTGGACACCTTTGTGGGCTTCTGGCCTACAGAATTTGAGAAAATAAATTTCTGTTGTTTCAAGCCATTGAGTTTGTGGCTTTTATCTCGGGATATTACCTTTACAATGTCACCTATATATATATATAGATCACCTAATTTATATCTAACCTATTACATTATCTATAGGAAACTAATATAGCTACCATGTCAGTCTATTCTGGCATTGGTTTAAATAATTACCTGAGACTGTATAATTTATAAAGAAAAGAAGTTCAGTTTGGCTCATGGTTCTGCAGGCTGTACAGGCATGGTGCCAACATCTGCTCAGCTTCTGGTGAGGCCTCAGGGAGATTTCAATTGTGGTGGAAGTTAAAGTATAGCCAGTGTATCACATGGTGAGAGCAGGAATAAGCAAGAGAAGGGATAAGATACTAGGCTTTTCGAACAACCAGATCTCACTTAAATTCAGAGAAAGTACTTACTCATTAGCCTGGGGGTGGCACTACGCCAGGGATCTGCCTCTATGATCCAATACCTCTCACTAGGCCCCACCTCTAACATTGGGGATTACGTGTCAACATAAGATTTGGAGAGGACAACACATTCAAACCATATCAGCTACCATCCTACTTTTGCCAAACAGCATTCATTTTGTTGATAGCCTGAGATAAAAGGTGGAGTCCTGGACATGTAGTGGAATGGTTGTGTAGAACAGAAACTGCCAAACACCTGAATATATATGAAAATGAATGTCACCAACTCAGGATCTTTCTCTAAGCTAGAATAGTGGTCAAACGCACTTCTTGGATAAATGTATAAATATATATATACAGATGTGTATGTGCATATATGTGAATATAAGTAATGCATGTTTGTTTAGAGGGAGCAAAAGAGCACATTTACTTTTCATCCTTAAGGTTAAAGATATGAACAAATACTGTTTAATGCATTCTAATTTCTCTGTAACTATATCACTCTTTATCCATTTGAGGGAAAGTTAGGAAAGTATGCTAAAAAACTGAAAAACTGAAACTTTTTTTTTCCTCTTCATTTCTGAATGTATTTAGATTGAAAAGACACTGCAGTAGAGGGTAGAAAAAATAATCTATGCTTGGCACCTAGGCACTCACAATTTAAGACAATTATATACCCCAGGATGTTTTTAAAGAAAGATTCACCTGAAATGGACATTCCCAAAAAGAGAGTATTAACAGTATAGTTAATTATCCTGGCTAAAAGGTAATATTTTCACATCCATGTTATCTATGTCATATACTACCAGAGAACATTTCAAAACACTCAAGAGTGTAGCATGCTTTCTATTTAGGTGCCATATGCACAATCTACAATCTTTGTTGAGAGCCCCTTGCTCTCATAGTTAAAAGAAACACAGAAAGTACATGTCTTTCATCACAAAGCGAGGTTCAAGGCTCCATTTCACCAGTCACCTACCAGTGAAAACACTTGGTGGCATGCCTTTCCCTGAATTTATACAGAATTCCAAGCATAGCTTAAACATTTTACATCTCGATTTCATGAATGTGAATAGTTAAAGAGTCAGGGCATATGGACACATTATAAGGAAAACCTAAAGAAAAGTAGCAAAGTATTTTATTTTTTATTTCAACATTAAAGCAAATACCACCTGTGCAGTCAAAAATGCCCACATTCTTAACATACTGAGAACTGTGAGAAGTCAAGCAGGTGCTGAGAAGAAAATAGTAAAGAAAAAAAATTGTGTTTCTTAAAATAAACAAAACATTTACCTTCAAGTTTTTAACATCCTGCTTATTTCTTTTCATGTTAAGTTATAACAAGTATCACATGTATTGTTGAGAAATATTTTTCAAAAGAAAGACTAGAAGGCCACAGAATTACGACCTATAGAAAATGACAAGAAATAGATAGAAGTTTCAGGGCTTTCTTTTTTAAAAGACCATTAAATAAAGAAGAAAAAATTGTGAGGTGGTTATTATCTTGGAACCCAGGAGATTACAGAAATTAGCCAGTGGAAGAATCATAAGTTAATAATGATTGTGAAATATTGTAGTTCAAGAAACCAGGTGTAAACATACAGTGAAATGTGTGCTGCAGTTGCAGTAACAGTTTGTCTCCTTAAAGAGAAGCTAAGAGACCTCTAGCTTAAATGAAAATTGCCTTTTAGGAAGGATACCAGGTTAAGAGTGGTCAAAACGCAGGGTGCCCCATAGTTATTTCAAATAAACAACAAATAATTTTCTACCATAACTATGTCCCAAATATTGCACTATTATGCTATACTTATGCTAAACACTCAATTGATTATCTAAATTTCAAATTGCAGCTGGATGCCCTGTACTTATATTTGCTAAATCTGTCAACCCTAACAGGAAAAATGAGAAACAGGATTTGGAAATATCACAGGAAACAATAAGTTTACATTGACTCTATCAGTGATTCTCTCTCTCTATTAAATCTCTGTCTCCTTGCCTCTCTCTTTCATCCAGAATTTATTTATTTTTTTCTCTCTAGTTTATTCATTTTTTCTCAATGCAGAGCAATTTTATCTGTTTTTTAATGTATTTTTATGCATGCAATAAAGAAACAAGGTGTAACCTGGACAACATAGTGAGAGATTGTCCGTACAAAATTGTTTTTAAAAATTAGCTGGGTGTGGTACCATGTGCCTGTAGTTCCAGCTACTGGGGAGGCTGCGAAGGGAGGATTCCTTAAGCCCAGGAATTAGAGACTACAATGAGCTATGTTCATGCCATTGCACTATAGCCTGGGTGAAAAAGTGAGACTCTGTCTCAAAAAAGAAAAAAAAAAAAAAGGAAGGGAGGGAGGAAAGGAGGGAAGAAGGAAGGAAGGGAGGGAGGAAAAGAGGGAAGAAGGAAGGAAGGAAGGAAGGAAGGAAGGAAGGAAGGAAGGAAGGAAGGAAGGAAATAAGGAAATAAGGAAAGCAAGAAACCAGGAAAGCAGGAAAGAAAGAAATTGGCCCAGTTTTGCAGTTTTGGTTATTATCTACTTTCTGGTCAAAGTAATAACCACCAGGGTTTCTAGGTCACTTCACCCAGTGTCTTCTCAATAGATGCTATA